TGCCGGCCCGCGCCCGGCCCGGCCCGCCCTGCCCACAGCACAGCACAGCGCACAGCAGAGCCCGGCCGCCAGGGCAGGGGCGGGCTCCTCGTGGGAACCGCGGGGCCCAGAGAGGGGCAGGGAAGCAGGCATGGGTGGGGAGAAAATATTGTTTGTGGGGGCTCAGAAAAACTTCAACTTAAAAGATACTTCTACTGTGCTGCTGTTGGTTGTTTTACGGCCGGCGCCTGCTGGCGGTAGAGGGGGGCGCAGCGCAGTGGCTAGGGTGGTTTTCTGGTCCTCTAGTGATATGAAACCGGACCAACGGCCACCTATTGATATGCAACCGGACAAATAGACACCCTTTATGTCCTCTATTTTTCACACACCCCACTCCCTGCTGCCCACATCACCACAGCTGCCTGCGGGAGCTCGCCAGGCCCCCCGCCCCCGCCTCAGGAGGCACGCAACATTCATGGTGGGGGGGGACATTGCACTAAATGCCACTGTCCTCTATTCTTAAAGGTACGTTGCTGGATGCCCTCGCTGTAGCGGTGGTGCTGGAGCAGCAGGGCTGAGCGCCCATAGTGCGCTGGCCTGGCTGCGCTCCTCACGGCGTCGGGGCAGCCGCTGCACAGTTAGCTGGTTATCCACCTACAGAAGCAGGGCTGGCAGGGACCTCCGCAGGTCATCTAGGCCAGTGGTTCTCAACCTTTTTTGTACCAGGACCCATAATGACTAGTCCTGACCCAGTGCCCCTCACTCCAGACCTGCTCCCCCCCACCCGCAGTGCGTGGGGCAGTGCAGGGGAGCCTCAAGCAGCCCTTCGCAGGCTGGAGCTCTGCCAGCCTGCAAGGGAAAAGCCACTGTTTCCCACATTTTTCTCCTTAAAGGAGAATCCATTTTTAAAGTTTGTTCTCAACCCTTCCATATCTTCCTGCGACCCACTTTTGGGACCCGACCCACAGGTTGAGAAGCACTAATCTAGTCCACACCACTGCCTGAGGCAGGATCAGCCCTACCCAAACCATCCCATACAACCATCATCTAAACTCCACGTAAGATGCCTTCAACCCTGACACAACACAGACCTCATGCCCGAACCTGCCACGGGTAAAGCAGGGGAACACAGCAGCCCATGTGCTGCCCTATGAAATGCTGTCCAGATGCTCAAGAGAGCCCCACCCCCTCAGGGAAGGCAAAAACCCCCACAATCCATACCAATCTGACCATGGGGTAAAATTAATTCCTGACCCTAAACATCTTATCTGATTGTGAGGCAACCTTGAAAGGATCTCAAGGCACCCCAGGGTGCTGTGGCACCCCGCTTGAGAAACCCCAGTCTAAGGCTTAGGTCAGCACTACTTCAGCTCCCTGGCAAACCAGCAAGCACAGCCATGAGACCCCGTTGCCCTCCTTTCCACTGGCACTGGCTCCCCTCTGCCCCGTGGAAGCTGGCTGCTGGAGAGAGACCCCCTATGGGCACTTCCTCACCTTTCACTGCCTGCCAGCGTCCTCACAGCAGCTGGTGCCCTCCAGCTTTGCACAGCTGCTGCCTGGAGCCTCACAGACTCCCCAGAAGAGCCTGCATGTGAAAGCATTCTGGTGGTTTGGGAATGGCAGCTGCCCCTGAAACTTAGGCCTAGTGCCACTAACCTCTCTTCCTCACCTTCCCCACCCTGAGGATAAGACTTTGGGCCATGGCTCCAGAAGGGCTGGGAAGGATTCATTAGGGTTTGTAAAGTATTTTGAAAAGGCAGGGATTAGTTAGGATTATTGCTGCAGCTGCTTCTATTAGTGTCACCCAGCTCACGCCTGCACCAAACCAAAGCATCAACCTCTGTACCAATGTACGCACATTTTGCAACTGGAGTTAAATATAAAACCTTTTCTCTGCTTTATTTCTAATCTGAGTCTGAATACTTCCTGAGCCCTTTGGCATCATTTAATGCATAAAAATAGCTCCATCATCCCCAGTGCTCCTAAGAGACTGTACTCCAAAAGAAAGATGGAGAGTTGGTAGGGGTAGTCTTCAAAGGAGTAGGAATCTGTGGGTTGTGGTTAGCTCAGTAGGTACCTTGTCTGCTGAATGAACCAGTTGTCACACAGTACCGTTGCAGATAATGTTACATACCAGTTGTTCTTCTTTGAGCTACAGAGAGAAAACTCATGATATAATTAAAACTATTTTCCTTTTCCTCTGAGGCCATATGCCCTCTGTCACTGCACAGCACACACAGACATCCCAATTCTCTGTTGGCTCTTCACATTGATCTGACAGCTATACAAGGCACCAAGATGAGGAGCCTGATGCTGTCCATGAGCATAAATGGGAAGTTGGGGCTGAAGGCAATGTACATCTGCAATGCAGGATCTGATCATGTGTTGAGCAGGGTTATTTAGATTTAAAAATATTTTAAAATAGGTTATTTTACAAATAAATAGAAAGAGTGCTTCCTCACTTCCATGTTCACAATTACAGTTACCCAAGTACTTCCATTTTAAAAGCCCTTCCAGTTTGTTTCAACTCTAATTTTGGAGCTGACATTTCCCAGGTCTGCTCTCTGGTCAAAAGTGCTTTTAGCAAGATCGAGCCTTCCAAAAATGGTCTGCAACTTTTGAGTAAAAAGGCAGCAGAAACATATTATTTTGCCATGGCATATTTTGGCAACCATCTCTTTAACTGCATTAATACCTAACTGGAACAGGCCAGAAAGTGTTTTAATAGTTGTCTTACATTTATTACAGAAAAGCCTTGAGACTCCAACCAGCAACCAGGGGCCTCACTGATTTTTGGCCCAGATAATGAAAAGGATAGCACTCGCACAAACAGTTTGCAGTCTAAATGATGGGAACTTAGACACAGAAAGGTGAGCATAAGGTAACTATAAAAATATTATTAGTTTAGTAAGCAGTGGTCACAACATACCAGCTGCCTAGATACTGGCACAAAGGCAGTACCAGAGAGTAAAGGTTTATTCAATGAGGAGAGAGGTTGCAATCACATTTTAAATCATACAGAGGCTTCTCTGGGGACCAACCCTGTAAATCCCGTTTCTCACCCAGCTAGTCTTGGCTTTGGTTGTAATCAAAGGTTAGTCACATGAGTGCACAGGGGTGCACAGTCAATGCCCAGCATTCCCTCTGAAAATGTTTGTCTCAGGGTTGATTCTCATGATCAATTCAGAGAGGAAAATGATCTCATTCCTAAAAACATACTAAATGAGAGAATGAAATATCTGATAGTTCTTAAATTGCTAAGAGATTGGAATGATTATATAGCACTTCCCACTCTCATTTTGATCTTGTTACACAAGCATGGGTGAATGCAGAACTGAATTATTCTTATTAAAACATTAAAGATCAGTTTTTCCTTGATGATTTCATGTTTCCATTATTAATTGTGTCAGTGCTAATTTGTTTGAAATTTATCCTTATTAAACTTTTGCTTATGCTTTGTGGTATAATGATTTTCTTTTCTCCCTCCTATGTAAACACGAATGCTATCTTTCCTGATGACACGGATATGAAGGGATGTAGAGAAAGCTGCAATGATTTTCTGAAAGCCTTGGATACAAGTTAAATTTGCAGTGCTATATATGCCCTTTGGGTGCTTCAGAAAGCCCACTCATGAAGTTTGTAGTGCCACAAGCATAGTGGACCCACCACAAAAATTTTCCTGTTTCAAACAGGAATGTCTCTGTAGCATTTTGTAGGACCACATGTACCATATGGACAGTTACAGGTAGCATAACATAGCGCTGAGGCACTTGGTCCCCAGGAATTCTACAGTGCTCCACTCTCTCCTCCTACCTCCAAGAGCCAGGGCTGAAATTTTGCTCACCACTAAGCTGCTGACACAGCAGTATGGACCAGTGCTTCTGCCTCCATGGCAGTGGCAGCAGCAGAGGCTGCTGCTAATGGGGTCCTGGCAGAGTTGGAGCCCCAGCAGTAGCAGTGGCAGAGTAGCCTGATGCTACTGCCACCAGGGCAGCAACAGGTGTCCTTACTCCCTTGAAGGAAGGTCACTAAGCTGTCAGGCAGCCAGTGCTCCCCTGTTCGCAATATACTGTCCTCCACAGGAAGCTGCCAGCCTGCCCAGTCCTTCCTCAGCAAGGGAGAGGGCAGGCTGGCAGGGACTGAGCTCATTGATAGGTTCCCCTGGGGGCAGGGGAAACAAAGGAGCAGCACCCCCTATTGCCCCCTGTCTGGAAAGCACCCCTTTGCAATAACTTCGTAGTGCTCCTGCACAGGGCTCTGAATGTGTGTATAGAGAAGTACGGTTGAGAAGGACCTCCAGAGGACATCTAGTCCAACCCCCTGCCTGAGGAAGAATCACCTCTATCCAAACCACCACACACAAACCATAATCTAAACTCTACATAAGACTGTCAAACCTGACACAACACAGACTTAACACCTAACCTGCCACTGGTAAAGCAGGGCAACTATGGCAGGCAATGTCCTGCTTCTATAAAATGTCAATATAGACTTAAGGGTTCCTGGTAGAGGGCCATACCCTACACTACAGAGGAAGGCAAAAACCCCCACTGTCCATACCAATCTAACCATGGGATAAAATTCCTTCCTGACCCCAAATACAGTGATCAGTTTGACCCTGAGTGGAGGGGCAAGACCCTCTAGCCAGAAACCTCTGTAGCTCTATGTTCCCACAGAGCTCTAAATTTGTGGCACTACAGAGTGCCAAGGTACCTGTAGTACTACAAATGAGCATGTGTCCCAATCATAAGTGGTGCATTCTAGCCCCAGGCTTTTCAGAGGTCTTAACATAAAATGTTTGAAATGCTAGTAGTTTTGCAATCATTTGGTTGAGGCAATTGGCCAG